GCTCACATCCAATCTGACTCTGCCCTGGCTCAGCTCAAGGCCATTCCCTCTCTCCTCTCCCTCAGCCCTGGCAGGACACACATCCCACACCTCTCTCCAGCCCTGGCAGGAGTTGCAGAGAGCCAGGAGGTCACCCCTGAGCCTCTTCTCCAGGCTGACCAACCCAACTCCCTCAGCCCTTGCCCATGTGCTCTGCCCTTTGCTGCCCTCGTTGCCCTTGGCTGGACTCGCTCAGTGCCTCAATGGCCTTTGGGCAGTGAGTGCCCAAAGCTGAGCACAGCACTGAGCTGGGACCTCCCCAGTGCCCAGTGCAGGGGGATGACACTGCCCTACTGCTGCTGCCACACTGCTCTTTAAGTGGGAACACCTGCAAACTGTTCTGAGAAGTGACAGTAAGACTTTAAAAAAAAATCCAAAAACCTACAACTTTTTGTCACCTCTACTGTTTTTGAGAAAGATGCTTTTAGATTGAACCATCTCGAGATGTTTATTTCCAATGACTGTGCTGGGTCACTCCTTTCAATATTAAAAAGTTTGGAATTTGAGCCTATTTAGTGCTGTAAGCAGGATTAGCCTGGTGGAAGATCAGAACTCATAATTTCAGTCTTACAAAGTGAAGAAAATGTTTTCATTGGAATAATCCTGTCCTGATCCGAACAGGAGTTGCCGAAGTGGTTCAGTCAGTACTTGCAGTGTCGGAGCCACATTAACCAGCAGTGGGCAACAGGAAAGTGTGTGGAGCTCCCACTGCCATCAGTGCTTTGTGGTTAGGAGTTTGGTTCTGCTTTTCCAGTGGTGCTGGTGGTGAGGAGAACAGGATTTGGACCCAGCTGTCCACAGGAACAGTGCAGCATGGCTTAATTACAGTTATCTGGACTTGTCTCCTTCCTTTCTTCACCTCCCCAACTTGTTTCCCCTTCAGTGTAGAATCATAGAACCATCAAGGTTGGAGGAGACCTCTAAGATCCTTGAGTCCAGCTAATGCCTGCAACTCTGCTGTACCCCTTAAACCCATGGCTGAGGGAGTTGGGTTGGTCAGCCTGGAGAAGAGGCTCAGGGGTGACCTCCTGGCTCTCTGCAACTCCTGCCAGGGCTGGAGAGAGGTGTGGGATGTGTGTCCTGCCAGGGCTGAGGGAGAGGAGAGAGGGAATGGCCTTGAGCTGAGCCAGGGCAGAGTCAGATTGGATGTGAGGAGAAATGTTTTCCCTGTTGTGGTGTTGAGGCCCTGGGATATTGCCCAGGGAGGTGGTGCAGTCACCATCCCTGGAGGTGTTTCAGAGGTGTCTGATGTGGCACTGCAGGATCTGGGTTAGGGTTTAGGGGTTCCAGCAGTGACAGGTTCATGGTTGGACTCAATGATCCTAGAGATCTCCTCCAACCTTGGTGATTCTATGATACCCTCCAGTGGTATATCCAGACACCTCTTATATGAGGAGTACATTTTAGTCCTTATGATTTTATTTTTTGCTCATCATCTCCACTGTCTCGTTTCACAACTCTCATTTCCCTTTCAGTCTGAACCTCAGAACAGCAGTGCAGTGGCTGGGCAAGAGAGGACTCCAGCTGTGTCCAGCAGCAGCTCCCTGAGCCCTCGGCAGCGCCGTGCGCAGCAGCAGAGTCAGAGACGAGCTCCATCCTCCGCCGACTTCAACCGTGCCCAGCAGCCAAGGGTCAACACCAACCACACTGGCTCCACTGTCCTCATTGTGCTCCTGACCTTTGCCTTGGCAGCTCTTATATTTCGTAGGATATGTTTGGCTAACGAGTATATATTCGACTTATAAGGTTGTTTGTCCTGACACAGTGACTGGAATGCCTCGCTGAGCATTCTGTGTTGGGTGTGACATGGAACTGTTTACAAAGGTTACGTTTTGTATCTATGCTTAAGTCCTGAATGTTAATGTCCCTACAGATATGTTACTTGTAAGAAAAGCCAAGTTGGACATGTAGCTACAAGTGTTGATTGAGTTCCCACTAGTGACTTGGAGAAACAGTGCAGTGGAGCAGTAACATTAAGGCCTGTGGGATGGGAGTAAATCTGAGTCACTTCCCAACTAGAAAAAGATCATTTTTAAAAGTGGTTGGTTGTTTTTTATGGGACATAAATGCAGTTGATCAGCCCATCCACGTTAGGAGGAGATTAGTTGTTGGAGAGGGAGTGATAAAATGAAACACTGCTAGGAGTTTGTGTCCAGTGAGCTCTTAATTTACAGGGCATACAGTTTTTTAACCACTTACATTTCCCATGACACATTTCTGGAGGGGAAACACATACAAACTGGTGGTGATGCTGCTTTGTGTGTGGGCAGGAGTAGGGGAGGAAAGAAGGGGCCAGAAAACTACTACATTATTTTGAGTTTTATTTTTTTTGGAAGAAAGATTGGATAATCTCTTGAAAGATTTGAATGTCCTCTTCTAATACTTTCAACTGTATATCTTGTTTTTTAAATTTGAAGATTATACAAGACATGTCTATTCTTGCAATAGTTATAAATATGTAATATAATTATTTACCCAGAGCTATTGTCTTTTAATTCTGCCAGAAATATACACAACGTGTTGAACTGAATGTTTCACATGTGGTTTTTATTTACTGCAGAGAATTCAAACTTTATTATACATTAACTCATATATATGAACATCCTCAAGAGAAGTATTTATTACAGCCCTGGTAGTAATAAAGGTTCAAGCCATTCTGCAGTTATGTTTCAAGTATAACGTGACATTTTGGCTTTTGTTTGTGGGATTTTGGTTGATTGGTTTTTTCTTTGTCCATTTTGGTTTGTTTGTTGTTTTTTTTTCTGAGTGGTTTTTTTTAAAACCTAAAATCACTATTGGACCCAGAGACTTTCTTATTGTAAGTTTATTAGAAAAGTAACTGGTAATATTTGTGAATACCATGAAAACACATCTAGAAACAGTAGAGCAACAATTGTTAGGGTTTTAAGAGCTTTTATCTGTGTCCATTTAAGTATTGGAGTGGAGAAGAAGAAAGCAATCCTGGAATTCTGAATCATCGAGGTTGGAGGAGACATCCAAGATCATCAAGTCCAACCATGAACCTGTCACTGCTGGAACCCCCAAACCCTAACCCAGATCCTCCAGTGCCACATCAGACACCTCTGAAACACCTCCAGGGATGGTGACTGCACCACCTCCCTGGGCAATATCCCAGGGCCTCAACACCACAACAGGCAAAACATTTCTCCTCACATCCAATCTGACTCTGCCCTGGCTCAGCTCAAGGCCATTCCCTCTAGTCCTCAAATTGTCCTGTGACTGAATGGGGAACTAAATTTCAAACAGTCTCTTTTCTTGTGCTTAAAGAAATAGCTGCTTTGTACCTTCTGGTTTTCATACCAGTCTTCTTTGATAAATGCTAAAAATCCCTGATTCTGCCAATACCTACTTGAAAAAAATCAAGATTAATAGCAACTTAGTTTATGGAAAGGCAGTTGCATGTATAGATACTTTGGGGGTTACTGGTTTAATTTTCCTTTAAAAGTCAACAGTAAATAAAGCCATTTTCAGAGGAAATAAACAGCATAAACGGAATGGATTGAGTAACAGATTCAAATTGAAGGAGGGAAATTGAGGTTGGATGTTAGGCAGAAGTTTTGCCTGTTCTGGTGGTGAGACCCTGTCCCAGGGTGCCCAGGGAGGCTGTGGCTGCCCCAACCCTGGCAGTGTTCACAGCCAGGTTGGCTGAGCCTTGAGCAACCTGCTCTGGTGGGAGGTGTCCCTGCCCAGGGCAGGGCTTGGGGCTGGGTCAGCTCTCAGCTCCATCCCAACCCCTACAATTCTCTGATTCTATTATAAAGAGACAGACTAAACCAGAAAATAAAATCTCCCCCACTGTAACCTGATCCAAACACATTTCCCACTGAGCTCCATGCCTGAGCCATGGCACAGGCACTTTCCAGCTGACAAAAAGCTGCTGAACAAAGGCTCACAGCCCGTGGCAAGGCTGATGAGAAGGGACAGCCTGTGTTTGCAGTCTGGCAGGAGGGGAGCGCTGAGATTAGCGGATTGGGCGTGCAGAACTGCGGGATTTTATGTAATGGCTTTAGTGAGCATCCCGTAGGAGCCGGCGGAAATGTTCAGTGATGCAAACTTGGTGAGTAATGGCCAATCATTGGGCAGTGGTGAGGGCAGAGCTCTGGGTGTGCAGCCCTGGACTCTGTCTGGAGAGCAGCGTTCCTGCCCGCGCGACTCCAGTCGCTTCCATGCTCCATCCTGGGGGGACCTGGACCACAGGAGGTTCCTGGAGCGCAGAGTGCCCAGCTCCCCTTCCCAGCAAGATGCCTCATTTGGCAAAACTCCTTTTATTAATCTTTTGCTTAGTGCTTCTGGTGGAAAGCAGAAAGCACAGGAGGAGGAGGTGGACGAGCCAGCTGGACGCGCCGCGAGCGAGGTAAGGGTGACTGCAACACTTCTCTGTGTGGTCTGAATGCTACACGGGCACAAAATCCTGCTCTGCCAAGGTCTTTGTGCATTGTATGTGCAAACAGCTTTATAGGGGAGGTTTTTCCAGCAGCCTGGTAGCATTGCTAGTTTTAACTGCAGGGGGACACTTGTAATGTTGATTGAGTGCAGAGAAGTCGAGCACTTGGTAAAAGTATCCTGAGCCATAAAAGCAAACGACTGGAAGAATTCAGAGGAGCTGCTGTTAACAGAGATGTTGAAATGTGCATCCGTTTTCAGCACTGTTTCAAGAGGAGGTTATTTACCTGTGTGCTGGAATGTTGTGCTGCCTGTGATCACTTGGAATTGCCTGTTGGTCTCTCCGTGATTTGAGATGGGGATGTTGGTTATCGTGAGTGATAGTAACTAGTGACATGGTAAGCCCTGGAAGTTACACAGGGATTGTAAAATTTAAAATGTTTATTGAAGCAAACTTCAAAAAAAAAGGGTTTTAAAGTCAAGCAAAGGCACAAGAAAGAGTTAAAGGTCTTAGTAAAGTTTATTAGATTTACTGTTGCTGAGATTTGTCCAGAGGTTTACATTAGAAAAGATAATCTTCCAAACCTGTCAGACAGGGCAAAGGATGTTATCCTTTTTTTGTGGTTATGTCATCCAGTTGCAGTTGTATCTTACAAGACTGTTTGTTGTTGGAAGGGCTCAAAACCAAAATTGGGTTAATCCACCTTATTAAACGGCTTCACTGTGGCTGTAAACTTTCATATTTTTCTTCATTTTATTAGGCTTTTTTGCTGTAACACTCAGCACTTGTATAGGGAGTGTTGTTACTTGAAGGTTGTACAAAGAAATGTGATGCAAAGGGAAGCAAAGAAAGCATAAAATTCTGCCAGATTTATACTGCTTATTGGAAAAATACAGCAGCATATGCTCTGAGTTAGAAAGCTGAGACAGCCAGGGCCTGATCCTGAACTCCTGAAGTTTCACCACTGGTTTCCACAGAATCTCTGTTATTGAATGAGATCTTTCATTGAACTCTGAAATAATTTAAAAGTCTATGTTCTGGGGGATTCAACAGCAGCATTTCCAGCCAAACTATTCATGTGTAGTAGAGATCTTCTGCCTCAAAGCAGCAGAGCACTATGAATCCTCCTTCAGATCTGACTTTGTCCCAGAGTGGTGCTGTTGTCTGGGTTCAAAGCTTTGTATTTCCTTTAAAGGTGGGGAAAAATAACTCACAGCTCCTATAATGCCATTACTTTTGTGAGCTGTAACTGAGTGGCAGCCAAAGCATTGCTAAAATCAGTTTTACAAACACACTGTGAAGAGCAACTGATACAATTTGGTTTTCTGCACTGTAATGATTTTAATGAACAGTTTTCCAGCCAGGTAGAGGAACTAGATCTATCTATCTATCTATCTATCTATTATCATCTATCTGTCTATCTATCTATCTATCTATCTATCTATCTATCTATCTATCTATCTATCATCTGTCTATCTATCTAATCTATCTATCTATCTATCTATCATCTGTCTATCTATCTATCTATCTATCTATCTATCTATCTATCTATCTATCCTACATATATATTGTGTGTGTATATACAGTTCCTATACAAGGTACTTCCCATAAAATCATCCAGGTTGGAGGAGACCTCGAAGATCATCAAGTCTATCATCAAGTTACTTATTTAAAAGTACATCAAATCAAGCTGTAGAGGCTGTTAAATGTGAATGACATTTTAAACACAGAGAATTCTGCACTATTGCAACAAAAAGAAGTGGCAGGAATAGTTTAAATTACAGGGGGAAAATTTAGTTGTCTTTAAACCAGCAATGAATAAAGGAAAACAAAAGGAAATTGAAACTGGTTCCTAGACTAATTTCCTGATCACAAAAGGGAAATGAAAACAATGAACTTTTAACTAATTTCATCACATTTTTACTTAGCATTTCTCTTGCTGACTCACCACAAGTAATAGAATAGGTTTGACAGTAAACATGTTGTTCGAGGGAATTTATTCCTATGTTTGGGAGCCTACATTGGATAAGTCTGATAGTTTTTGGCCATTAAGGTGATGCATCAGCCTGACCTAAAGAGCTTTCTATTGACCTCAGGAAGACAGTTTGGGTTTGCAAGTGCAGAACACCTTCAGTGCTGTAATTCATGGCTTGAGAGTTGTGCAGAGATTCATGTTGTATGGAGGTCCTCACCCAGGGAGCTCAGAGGGGTTGGGGTAGCTGCTCCTGCTCTCTGCCAGGGCTCTGCAGAGCAGCTGAGGAGGTACCTTCAGGGGAAGGAAATACGGGAAACTCAAAAACCCAAATGAAGAAATGGCACATTAGAGGCTGCCTGTGCATCCTCAAATCCTGATTGTGTTAATATTGAGCTGTAAGGCATTATTTTTAACAGGAGTGGTGCCTTGCTCAGCTTGCTGAATGGATCACCCTTGCTTCACTAGAAATTGTGTTGGATTCAATCTTCTCTTGCTTCTGCATATCCCACCTTACTGGTAATACAGCTCTTCACCCACAAACTGAGGTATTGCTTGGAGAAACAATTGCCCTGATCATTGAGACACCTGGACAGACCTGATCAGTGGCTGAGGACACTGCATGAGGTCAGTGAGGCTCAGAGCTGGTGCTGCCCTTGGCACACAACAAACCAAGCAGCTCCAGGCTGAGCCAGGGCAGAGTCAGATTGGGTGTGAGGAGAAATGTTTTCCCTGTTGTGGTGTTGAGGCCCTGGGATATTGCCCAGGGAGGTGGTGCAGTCACCATCCCTGGAGGTGTTTCAGAGGTGTCTGATGTGGCACTGGAGGATCTGGGTTAGGGTTTGGGGGTTCCAGCAGTGACAGGTTCATGGTTGGACTCGATGATCTCAGAGTTCTCCTCCAGCCCTGATGGTTCTCTGGTTCTATAATCCTTTGTGATTGATGTACATTAATACTGAAGATACACATCTATGTGGGATACACTCACAGCACAATGAAGAGCAGCTTGGAAGGCTCATCTAGGAATGAGCTAATTGTTCTAACAGTCATAAACTGTTCTTGTACCTTCATTCTTTCATTTAGCTTCATTTGCATCTGTCACATGCTTTGTTGGCTAGAAAAACAGGAGAGTTTGTACCTTTCTTGGTGCTGAGTTTACACCATGTGCATCTCCTCCAGTTTGCTGTGGCTGCTACACAAAGGAAATTACACCTTCAACTAATGCATTTGGGGATGTTTTTCTCCTAGAGAATATGCTGAAGACTTTCACTGAAACTGTAGAAATACTTGTCAGAAGCCCAATGGGTGATTGGAACCAAGGTCCTGTGACCATAAGATGCTATTTTGTGATCTTATCAATGCTGAATTCTGCAGAGAATGTGGAAAGAGGTGTGGAAACTTCCCAGACTCTGCCAACAGCTCTGCAATGCTTGGGACAGAGATCACATTCTGTTTCAGGGTCACCACGTAGCCTTACACCCTACAGCATGAGGGCTGCTCCCAGTTTGATAAGTTCTTTATCTTGCCCTGGAAAGGTCAGAATATCTACATAGATATCTGCTGCTTTTTTGACTCCTGCTGAGCTGTTATCTGCAATTTCTCATGCCATCAATAGTTACTTTGCTTTGGATATTTTGCAACGTAAAAAGCATCTATTTTATTGATAGAGATTTAATGAAGAACAATCCTAAATAAAAGTGACTAGAAAGGAAAATATTAAAAACCCCACCATAATAAAAGATCAGGGTAATTATAGAGAAGCTTTTACAGAACCTCAGTGAGGTACCTGTCCCCTTCTCTCCTCTGTGAACAGGAACACAGCAATCAGATTTATCAAATTCATCCCCCATGAATGAAATGCAAACAGCACTGAAATTATGCATGAAATACACGGCCAAAAAATAGAAGAGAAAGGGAGATGAGTAGCTTTAAACGAATAGTGGTGAATTGCAGGGAGTGCACAAAGCTGAAAGAAACCCTGACAAATCTATAATCAGAAATGCTAAAGACCATAAGTCCATCAGGGAGGATTTATGAGACAGCAGTGATGAGATTGTCAGTGAAGGCAGCAGAGCTCAGAGCATCCCTCAGCTCTGCAGAATCCCTGGCAGCTGCTGCAGGTAACGAGGTGCTCCCTGTACCAGGCACCACTGGAGGTGGCATGGGAGGCCTTGCTGGAGATGCTCAGGAGATTCCAGCAGGGTTGAACTCACTCACTGTTCTACAGAAGATCTTCCAAACAAACTTGGCCTTGAATTGGATTAAACAGACAAAAATAGTGATGCGTTTCAAAGGCTGCGCAGAAGTTCCTGTCATCAAAATACCTCCATGGAAAATCTTTGTAAAAGGATTAAATTGATTAAAAAAGGAAATGACAGAACTCTGTCTACAAGCTCTGAGATGTCTGTCACATACCTGACAGACTGGGCAGGAACTGGTGAGGGAATGTTGGCTGGAAAACTCAACCCCTGGTTTGGGAAGGGCCTGAGAGTGTTTTCCTCCTGAGCCAGCACCAGTGTCCCCCCTGAGACCTCCACAGACTCTGCTCTGTGTGCTGCTCTGGAAAAGCATCGATCCAAGCAGAGCCATCGATTTCCAAGCTGCCACTGCAACACTGCCAGGCTTTTAATTCTTCACTCAGGGCACAATCCCAAGTTTTATTGGATTTTTAGTTTGATTTCTCCCCCCCATTCTGTGAGGAGAGAGACTTGATTGGTACTTCAGCCTTTCCCTGGGGATGACAGCCAAGCTCCTTCCTTCCCCAGGTCTGAGCTGTGCAGGTGTGGAAGAGCCAAGTGGAGCATGTTTGCTGCAGAGCTAACCTTGCAAGGAAACAAAGCTTCCCCCGGGGCAAGCAGTTAAAAGCTAAACCTTTGCCCCCAGCCCTTCCCATTAGTGGCTCTCTGGGGCTCTACACCCCTTACAGCTTTAGGTGGCTGTCAATGCAGCTCTGCTGGGAAGGCACTGGCTCCTCTGGCTCTTCTCCACAGCACACACAGAGAGAGAGAGAGAGAGGCTCCCACATCCACAGGGCCAGGAGGTGATTCTGCCCCTGCACTCGGTGCTGCTGAGGCCACACCTTGAATCCTGTGCTCAGTTCTGGGCCCTCAGCTCAGGAGGGACATTGAGGGGCTGGAGCAGGTCCAGAGCAGAGCAACGAGGCTGGGGAAGGGACTGGAGCACAAGTGGCATGAGGAGAGGCTGAGGGAGCTGGGGGTGTTCAGCCTGGAGAAGAGGAGGCTCAGGGGAGACCTTCTCACCCTCTGCAACTCCCTGACAGGAGGTTGGAGTCAGGTGGGGGTTGGTCTCTTCTCCCAGGCAACCAGCAGCAGGACAAGAGGGCACAGACTCAAGCTCTGCCAGGGGAGGGTTAGGTTGGATCTTAGGAAGAGATTTTTTGCAGAGAGAGTGCTCAGGCATTGGAATGTGCTGCCCAGGGAGGTGGTGGATTCCCCATCCCTGGAGGTTTTCAAGCTGAGACTGGATGTGGCACTTAGTGCCATGGGCTAGTGACCACAGGAGGGTTGGACTCGATGATCTTGGAGGTCTTTTTCAACCCAGTTGATTCTGTGATTCTATGATCCTGATTGAACTGGGAGCCCAAAGGAACATGAGGGGGATCCAGCTGTGCCTATGTAGCATGTGCCCTGGAGCACAAAGGGTTATATTCTTTCCAAACATCTGTTTGATATGATTTGTTTCTAGGTTCTGTTGCCTCCTTTTCACCTCCTCATTAAAGTAAATGGGTTATTGATCATAGAATCATAGTAATCAAGGTTTGAGGAGACCTCTAGGATCACTGAGTCCAACCATGAACCTGTCCCTGCTAGAACCCCCAAACCCTAACCCAGATCCTCCAGTGCCACATCAGACACCTCTGAAACACCTCCAGGGATGGTGACTGCACCACCTCCCTGGGCAATATCCCAGGGCCTCAACACCACAACAGGCAAAACATTTCTCCTCACATCCAATCTGACTCTGCCCTGGCTCAGCTCAAGGCCATTCCCTCTCTCCTCTCCCTGCAGCTATGATGTTAGCAGCAGTTATCAACACCCCTTAGGTTTCATCATTTCTCTCCCAAAATGACTACTCTGTTGGGAAACCTTTCTCCTCATTTGTGATTTATGCTCCCTTTGCCCCAGACTCATCTTGCTTTGTGTTTTTAGCAAGCTAAGCACATCCCTTTCTGCAGCTGCACTTATGAGTGTGGTGATTGGATTCTAAGCTCTGAATGTTTGATCAAGATATTAAGCCTGAGTAGTCTCTTAATTTTTCCTCTAAGATTTTTTTGGTCTCTGTTTTCTGCAATATTTCTTCCACACAGGCAAAGGAATCCAAACCTTTTGTACAAAATTCTTTCTATTTGCCATCATTATTTTTAGTAAGTTACTGATAAACAGCTGATTGCAGCAATAGTTAGAACTTTATCACATCTTATGTCCAGAGCAAAGGGATTGAGGAACCTTAATGGTCCAAACTCTCCATCCTGCCCCATTGGGAGAGCAGCAAGGGATGCTGATCTGGATTTCCTTCCAGAAGTGCATGCAGTGTGTCTGTCTGCTGGTTAGTTATCCCCTGATGTGATTTTAGTGACTCTCTTGCATTTTTCTCAGGGCTTGGTTGTCATCCTCGTTCTATGTTTATTGTGTAATCTCCCCAATAAAAAGTTAGAATTTTTCCTACCTTAATATTCAAGAAAGAGAAGGACTGAAGACTCTAGGGAGAACTCCTCTGTTCCTGCTGGGGGGGGGAAATGGGTGGGTTTGTTGTTGCTGAGAGCCAGCAGACAAAGCAAACCCTCTGTCCACACCAGCTGCTGGCACTGAACTGATAGATTGTCTCAAAACAGTGTATGACATTGCGTGACCACCATGGGAAAGAGCTTTCCCATGTCAGTGTTGCCTTGGTACCTGGCCAAATCCTGCCCAGGTGATGTGGGGCACACAGCTGTGTTCACTGCTGCTTGCTCTGAGCCTCAGCCTGCATCCAGCTCCTCCAGGAGATGCTGTGCTCTCAGCCTTGGAACCCCCGAGAGCTCCCTGTCCATCCTGGAGCAGGGCAGAGGTGGCAGAGCTGCCTGTGGGGTCACAAAGGTCTGAGTTAATGCAGTGCTGGGTCTGAGTTGTGGTGCTGTCAGACTCCCTGCCTGGCACTGCTACTGCTGCAGCTCAACCTGGGCTGGCAGAAGTTGGCTGAGGTGTCCTGCTGAGGCACAGAGACATCACACCAAAGCTATTGCTTCTTCTTACAGTCACATCTTTAAGAAGAATCATGACATGACCAAAGCCTGGAGAGGAAAGACAGAGCAGCTTCTCAGAGTGGATGAACATGACTTCACCATGCGCCCAGCGTTTGGAGGTGAGACGAGAATGGTTCTCTGGATGTCGTGGCCATCTGATTAAAAATGATCTAATCAATCATCTAATTAAAACAGATGAAAATTCCAGCCCCCTCCCTACCCCTCAAAATCCCAAAACCTCCGGCTAGATGTATCAGTGTGAAGGGAAAGGAATTTTGGCCAGGCACCTGGAATAGATTGCCCAGGGAGGTGGTGGAGTCACCATCCCTGGAAGTGTTTAATAGAATCATAGAATTTTAGGGGTTGGAATGGAGCTTAGAGCTGACCCAGCCCCAAGCCCTGCCCTGGGCAGGGACACCTCCCACCAGAGCAGGTTGCTCAAGGCTCATCCAACCTGGCTGTGAACACTGCCAGGGTTGGGGCAGCCACAGCCTCCCCGGGCACCCTGGGACAGGGTCTCACCAAATTCCTGAGTGACACTGGACACAAAGAAGCCCTGGACTGCAAACGTGATGGTTCCCAGGTTGGCTGGGCCAATCTACCATTTCACCACTGCACTTTTAGCTAAGAAGGGAATGGGGCACGAGCTGCTTTCTGGTGGCCCTTGCTGCTCTGCAGAGGACAGCCAGAAAGTTGTCATCCCAGCAGAGCTGTGGCCACGGGGCAGAGCTGGCTGGGGTGATGCAAGGTGAAATGGAAAAGGAAACATTAGAGAAAGGTGAAGGGTTTTTCAAGAAAAAGTGTCTTTGCAAAGAGCAAGGGAGCAAACAACGTTGTGTAAGTTGTGTTATTCACAGCCCAGTAAGCATGGTTGTCTTGCCTGCTCTCAGCCCATTAGAGACAGATGATTGGGCACAGAGGCAATGGGGAAGTTTTTTGCTTCGCTGATGGTCAAAGAGTCTCCATAAGCTAAAAACCCACTGGAGGTTTTTTTTGACCCTCAGGGAGTTATCCTGTCAGTGACCTTGTTCTAGCCAACAGCTGTTCAGGTATTAGTTACAAATATTAATATTTAAAGATTATGTAAATGTTTGTTTCCCTGCCTTCCTTAAACACCCATTGGAAGCATTTCATCTATGACATCTCTATTTTACAGGGAGCCTGTGAATAAGCAGCTTTAGTTGATACTTAAAATAGCTGTATCTTCTTTATTGAGGAAGAGCCTAATGCTTTACTTTTATTATATTTGCTCATAGCCTAGTAGCCTAACATCAGCTGGTCCTCACTGCCCTTTCTGGGCAGTGTTTTTGCCAGGGTGGATGAATGGTGGGGTGAGTAAAGCAGAAGTAGTTCACTTAGCATTAGCATCAAGGGCTGGGATGAAACTTGCTCCTCTGCTGATGAGCAGCTGTCAGAGAGATGCAGAGGACAGACAGTTGTGAGGCAGCTGCTGAGCAGATCCTGGTGGTGCCTGCCTGGAAGATTCCCATGCCTAAGAGGTCCCAAACATATATATGTTCATTTAAAGGTAAATATATGTATTTGTATACACACACATACATGAAAATAGAATGAAAACTATTTTGCAGCTTGAAGACATGAGATCTCTTATGGATGTTTGCAGCCTCTCTGGCTGCACAAGATATCTGTCAGCAAAGAATTCTCAGTCCTGCTCGTTTCCCATGGAGGTATCTTTACCTCATGGCCTGTGTCTGCCTCACTCCTTCAAAGATCGATGAGGAGACAGAATCTGTCTCAGAGGGAAACAAAGAGCCTTTGAAAGTGCTGCCAGAGAGCAAAACTAAAGAGATAACACAAAGCTTTATTCTCAGAGCTGGAGTGGAAAACAGACTCCAGGAATCTTCATGGCAGCACACTCTTCCCTATCTTCCAAAGCCTTCTCCAGTGCTCAAAAATAAAACTGATGTCTGTGCCCAGTTCTGGCTGGGAACTGACTCACCCTTTGAAGCTTTCATGCTGCTCATTGGTGGGTGGTTTCAGGTGCAGAGACACACTGAGATGCAACAGCCTTTAATGTTGAGCACCTTCTGAAGCAATTCCTGAACAGACTATGTGGAAACCTCCTGGGCTCTCTGGAGAGTTTAGCCCCAGGCCAGGCATCCCATTCCTGGGCTGCATCCAAAGCAGGGCAAGGGAGGTGATTCTGCCCCTCTGCTCTGCTCTGGGAGACCCACCTGGAATCCTGCACACAGCTCTGGGGCCTCAGCCTGAGAAGGACATGGAAGTGTTGGAGCAAGTGCAGAGGAGGCCACAGAGCTGCTCAGAGCACTGGAGCATCTCCCTGTGAGCACAGGCTGAGGGAGTTGGGGCTGTTGAGCCTGGAGAAGAGAAGGTTGTGTGGAGAGCTCAGAGCACCTTGCAGGAGCTGAAGGGGCTCCAGGGAAGCTGCAGAGGGATCTGTGTTAGGAGCTGCAGGGACAGCACAAGGGGCAATGGGCACAAATTGAAGGAGGGAAATTGAGGTTAGATGTTAGGCAGAAGTTTTGCCTGTTGTGGTGGTGAGACCCTGTCCCAGGGTGCCCAGGGAGGCTGTGGCTGCCCCAACCCTGGCAGTGTTCACAGCCAGGTTGGATGAGCCTTGAGCAACCTGCTCTGGTGGGAGGTGTCCCTGCCCAGGGCAGGGCTTGGGGCTGGGTGAGCTCTCAGCTCCATTCCAACCCCTAAAATTCTATGATTCTATGATTTCTCTTTCTGAAGAAAAGTAACTATTGATAAAATGTTGTTTATGACAAAGAAGATCTGGTTGATAATGGCTTTTTTCATGTTTAATGCTGTAATCTAAGTTATTTGTTCTGTCTACCAGTTCCATGAGTCATATACCATTTTAGCTATTCTTGTCCCTTCATATTCACACCCTCATCATCCTCTGCTCCCTCTTAACAAAGACGTTTTCTTCTTTTTGCTCATCCCTGGTGGTATTTGATGAGGAATTTGGCAAAATATCCAGTGTCTCAGTGCTTCTATAGTTTAGTTGCCAGAGGGACTGGATAAAAAACCCACCAGTTCCTAATTGACTGCAAGGGTTAGTGAGACCAAAGACCTCTTGACATTTCTCAGTGACTGATCCACAGCCATTAAATTCAGTGGTATGTGCTGCAGCCAAGATGACCTTTACAGAAACCCAGGGATTGTTTCTGTGGTTTAAAGAGTGTATTTCTAGACAGGGCTTTGCTTCAGAAGCTCTGTGCATTTCCAGTGCTGCTTTAACCAAGTGCCTCTGCCACACTGCTTCTTGCTAGGAGGTGTGCAGAGTGATGGGCAGAGTGAATATGCAATAATCATTGTAGAATCATAGAATTTTAGGGGTTGGAATGGAGCTTAGAGCTCACCCAGCCCCAAGCCCTGCCCTGGGCAGGGACACCTCCCACCAGAGCAGGTTGCTCAAGGCCATTCCCTCTCTCCTCTCCCTGCAGCCCTGGCAGGACACACATCCCCCACCTCTCTCCAACCTGTCAGGGAGTTGGGGAGAACCATGAGGTGAGGTTGGCTTATCACAGCCCCATCAGATCTGTACTGGGACCAGTCACAGCTTGTCTCATGGGTGAGGTGATTAGCCTTTCCCTGCTAAATCTGAGTTGGTGCTTCTTTCTGCTCTGGCAGAGGCAAACAAGGCTGTGCTCAACAGCCCTGAAGAGGTGTGAGAGTCTGTACATGCTGCTGCAGCTGCAGAATCAGCAACCTGAAGAGGTCCTGACCATTAGTGAGCAGCAGAGGTGTTGATACAGGATTTCTAGTCATAGAAATGTGCATTTATTATGGGTTGTTTTGTGCTAACTTACTCTTGGTGACTACTCTGGTTGCTAATTTTAAAGCTACTGTGGGAAACTAGTAAGATCATCAGTGAGTCATGGAATCAGCAAGGTTGGAGGAGACCTCTAAGCTCATTGAGCCCAACCATTAACCTGTCACTGCTGGAGCCTCTAAACTCATACAAATGTTGATGGGCTCTTGAGGAACTAATGTACCTTGTCTTGTTGGCAAAAAATGAGACACCTTCAAGGAAGAGCTCATTGCTTGCCATTTCCCCATCTCAGTCCCCTGTTCTTGGGGCTAAATTTGTCCATAGAGGTTAACATTTAAGATGGGATAACTCTGTTTTTAAAAACACATGCAAATGTTCCATCCAAGCTCTGGATTAACCAGGCAGAGTGTCAACATTGCAGCATATGCCAAGGGGAAGAGAATGAAATGCTTCAAAAGGGGCTTTCCATGGTTGTTCTCTGCCTCTTCCCCCAGTCCCCTCATGAAGAACCACTGACAGAAATGTGGGACCTAAGTTTTGCATGCCACTCTACAGTGCTAATAAAATGCAGCTGATATGAAAGAACAGCCATTTACATACCTAAATCTCCTTCTCTTTCAGGCCCTGCAATTCCTGTTGGGGTGGATGTGCAAGTTGAAAGCTTGGACAGTATTTCTGAGGTTGACATGGTATGTAATCCTCTTCTAAGCTTTAATTATTCCTAGACATAAAACGTCCCATTTGAAACCTGTGAAATGTAAATTGTTGGTCAGATGAATGTAATGGCAGAGTCTGTCAGATTCAAAGGGGTTGATACTCAGAGCTAAAGCCTTGATGAAACCAGGTGATCAAAGACTTAGCTCTGTGTCTCCAGGTAAAGACATGAAGGGAAAAGGGATCTTGAATAGGAGAATAATCAGTGCTATGAAACATCTATCACAGCTAAAAATAGCAACAGCTGCACATGAATGTTTGAAGCTATAAGGAAAAGTTCACATAAGCTGTGCATACTGCAGGAATTTTCTTCCTTGGGGAGCTCACACACATTTTCCTGTCTGGATTTGGGTTGTTTTGTGGTGTGTTGGCTGTTAGTTCATTTGTTGTTTGTTTTCTTTTGTGTGTGTGGTTTTCTACTTGTTTGTTTGGTTTGGTTTGGTTTGTTGGGGTTTTTTTTAACTGTAGGAAATGGAATGAAAATACTGGAAAGAGAAGTGGAAAGAGGAACATAGAGAAGAGGAAACTTCTCAGTTTCTTCCTCTTTCTGCCTTTTCCTCTCAGTTCTTGGACACCTCTGGTCTAGAAAAAACACAAAGGCAAAGGCAGAGCTTGAAGTTGAATGTTTTTTACGATGATGCAATCAAGGTACAAAGCAGCTATTTCTTTAAGCACAAGAAAAGAGACTGTTTGAAACTTCTTTCCTCACTCAGTCACAGGACAATTTGAGGACTAGAGGGAATGGCCTTGAGCTGAGCCAGGGCAGAGTCAGATTGGGTGTGAGGAGAAATGTTTTCCCTGTTGTGGTGTTGAGGCCCTGGGATATTGCCCAGGGAGGTGGTGCAGTCACCATCCCTGGAGGTGTTTCAGAGGTGTCTGATGTGGCACTGCAGGATCTGGGTTAGGGTTTGGGGGTTCCAGCAGGGACAGTTAATGGTTGGACTGGATGATCTTAGAGGTCTCCTCCAACCCTGATGGTTCTATGATTCTGTCAACTGGGGTTCTAATATTTCAGGATAATATCAGAGCAGCAAAGAGACCTAATTAGTGCATATAAATAACTTTCAATGCTTTCTGTCAGGAGAACCTGAATTGCCCAGAGATCTTGCCCATCAGAAAGCTTTAATGTCAGTTCTGACCCTTGGCTGTTGATAGCTTTATAGTCCTCTTTTCCCGGCACACGACAAGTACTTTCTACAGCGGTTGCTGTTCCGTATTTGGGGTGGAAGGATGGTCTACCAGGTCAGACTGAGCTATATTAGTTTGTTTTCCCAACAGATTGTCCCAGTATGTGTGTTTGCAGAGAGGGAACTGTCTGCATGGCCAATGGATCAGGGTGGCTGTGCCTGCAGCAGTGTGTCCTCCTTGACTCATTGCTGTCTCCTTGTCTCCACTGCAGCAAACAGGAGCTGCAGGGACAGGAAAAGGGGCAATGGGCACAAATTGAAGGAGGGAAGTTTAGGTTGAATATTAGAAAAAACCTTTTTACTCTAAGGGTGGTGAGACCCTGTCCCAGGGTGCCCAGGGAGGCTGTGGCTGCCCCAACCCTGGCAGTGTTCACAGCCAGGTTGGATGAGCCTTGAGCAACCTGCTCTGGTGGGAGGTGTCCCTGCCCAGGGCAGGGCTTGGGGCTGGCTGAGCTCTAAGCTCCATTCCAACCCCTAAAATTCTGCAATTCTATGATTCTTGGTTCCCTTTTGCCCAGCTCTGGTCAAGCTGATGAGCTTGATGTCCCTGGGATGACTCCTCCAGAGACTTTACAACCTAACTCCTATGATAGAAGCAGTTGCTGAAAGTGTTTCTTTGGGACTATAGCTGTAAGGGGAATGTGACCAGTGTCCAGTAGGGAACAGGAGCTGGCAGCATCCCTGGGAGGAGCAGAAATGGAGCCTGGAACTCTATAAGGTAGGGACCTGCAGGTGGGTGAGCAGAAACATCCTCCTGGCAGGTCTCTGCCGTGGTCAGAGAGGGAGGTGTCCAGCCAGCTCTGTCCTGTGCCAGGCAGCAAGGTGAGGACTAGCACTAGAGCCTTCTTTGACAGACTAGTGAAAACCTGTTGGCAGTGCAAGGGTGATGCCAGAGAGCCCTTTGAAATGGAGAGTTAGTGTAACCAAGTGTTTGTCACCATTTGTCACCAAACTGACTGTTTGGTTGTGTTTCTAGAGTGGTTGTGGTGTGGTTGGGAAGAGATCCTGTGTTGCTGCCTGCTCAGGCTTTTTTGGT